GATTTAACAGTGCTTGACAACAGCTTTGACTCTCCCTATTGGACTGATTGGCTAATTGTTAGTCGCTATGGCAATGCTCCTTTGGTCAATTGTTTCAAGAACCAGCTGTTTCATGTTACAGTGCACCGAGCCGTCAGCTCAGCTGAACAAATGGATTTAAGAATCAGCAACAAAACCTCCTCTGTTACAGATTCTCTGCTTTGTGTGCCATCCAGCCCACATCTACACGAGTATCCATCCTGCAGCTAATTTAGCTCAGGGACAACCAAGCACTTCCTGCTTCATGTTGCTGGGAATAACCGCAGTTCTGAAAGTTCAAGAAATGTTCGATATAACTCGTGTATTTTCTGCATGACTGGATAAAAGATGCTGTGCACGCTGAAAGAAAGAAGATCAGTCCGTTTCAGTGCTTGGACTTTATTTCAACTTTTTAAATTCTGACAGAAAAATGGAGCAGCATGCACCCGAACCTTTGCTGAAGATATTTGGCATTAAAGATCCAGCACCATAAACCTGGTTGTTAATTATTACGGCTTGTTAGAACAGGCTGAAACCAGTGTGGGCAGTGGATGTGGGCCTTCGGCGAGCACGAGGCCAGTACACACTGTGACTGTGCTGCAACAAATGACTACAGCACCGTGTGCAGCAAAGAAACCCTGAGACAGTTCAGGGTTAATGAAAGCTGCAGCAGTTTGTCCTGAAGTTAATTACCAGAGTTGTCGTAGTTTTAATTAGTGTCAGTGTCGTGCTCGTCTGGTCACGGCGCTTTGATCTCAATTAAAGTCACAGAGTTTGTGATTAACGTGATGATTGGATGTTTTAAATCATGGATGGAGCAGTGTGTCACCCACACACAGCGTCGCCCGCGAATCGTAAACTCTCAAACTTTTGTTTTAGTTTCGTTTTATTTTTATCCACCCAAGAGAATGATGACGTCATTGATCGATTTACTATCGTGACCATCATTCTTATTTTGATAGTTTTGTTTCTGCCAACCAGCCCTTCCTGTTCTATCTCATCAGATATTTATTGTTCCAGAGAGTTTCTCACCCTGGGTGGAGTAACTACTGCTCCATCTGTGGGATGTGGAGCTCACTGGAGAGGTGGCTGATCACTGCTCTGGTATCCACGGTTAGTGAAGTTACAGTGTTTCCAGTTAACTGTTGTATCCTTCAGGCCTTCATCACTGGATGCTCAGATTCTCAGTGCACACGCTTTTTCTCAGATGGACCATTGAAAGTATTTGACTCCAGCAGCACGTACGCACACGTCCATCTTTTCGTGTGTCTCGTAGTTTTTGGCTCGTTCCAAACCTTTTTAAAATCCAGTTACTTTAAACGTGAGCGTTTAACCGTTGCTCTGAGTTTCTACCACTTTTCCCAAAAATGTGTGGTCCAGTTCTGTTTTTTTAAAGTAGCCGACTCCTGACTACACGTTGATGTGTGGTTTGATAATCACATTCAGTTATGATAAGCAGGTACACGTCTGGGTTCGGTTACGATAAAATGCCCAGCGAGCTCCGTCTGTTTGCTGGAAGCCTTCTGCAGAGGGCAAAGAAAATACATTTTTGCAGACAGACTGAGGTCTTTAAGTGGAATCAGGTGGATCAGAAAGTCCAGAGAGCAGGTTCAGGTCCTGAACCTGCCTGAAGACCTCCAACATGTGGCCTCATTATCCAGCCACACACACCAAACCCCCCAAACAGACCACCAGCCCAGCTAATTGGAGATGTTGTATCACCTCCCTCGTGTCTTTTGCTCTTTCTGTTTCTCTCTCTCTCACACACACACACACACACACACACACATGCAGCCACACTTATCGATATCGATATGTTTGAGGTGCCCTACTATAACCAGATGTTTGGA